AAAAAAAAAGGAAAAGAAAAGAATCTGGAAGAATGTGGTATTTATCCTAACAGGAAAAATAATAGAGGAAATAAAAATACGTTCAGATAAGTAAAAATAAGAAAAAAGATTTCGGTTTTATTCATCAAGTAATCTATCGGATCAACTCCCATGTGACCTGATCACATTCTCCTACCATCTCTGATTTTGTTTCTTCATGCTTAAACTGGTAAAGGGGTACAGCAGAAAATAACCATGAATAAATTAGCTGTGCATGAGGGTTCACCGTGGTATCAGGTGCATACCCTATACAATAATACTCTTGTGTTTCAGTATTTAAGAACTGCTGGGTTATGGCTCAGTGGTTAAGAGTGCTCACTGCTCCATCAAAGGTTAGAAGTTCAGACCCATATCCAGCCTCTCACCCATATCCAGCCTAGTACCCATATCCAGCCTCTCACCAATGCCCATGACTCCAACTCCTGGCGATCCCTTCTGATATCTGTGGGCACCTGTACATATACACACGTACATACATCACACAACTCACACATAAACAAAATAAAATCCTTCTTAAGGAGGAAAAGTCAGCACACAGATCTACTACTAAGTTTGCATCTCTCTCTCTAAATAATTATCAAATATCTAAGGGTAGGTAGGAAAAGCTGAGAGGTTCTGTGCTATTCCTGTGCTCAGTGTTTGCATTGTCTTGATTTAATAATATGCCCTCGTAACGTAAGATTCATTGTCTGGTGAAGATTAGAAATCCCTAGAGATATCTTTCGTTTGAGGGATGTGTGTGTGTGTGTGTGTGTGTGTGTGTGTGTGTGTGTGTGTATTATACGTAATTGTGAAAAATGATTCTTTGGGAAATCTAAAGCAAAATGATGTGAGGCAGAAATATTTGTATCACATTTAAATTTTGTAGGAAACCTTTGATATATCTGAGCCTTGAGGACATAAGTAAGTAGCTAAAGGTACAGAAGACATAGTTACTTCTAAGAACACCTCCCCTTAATGCCAAGAAACGTCTCTGCTGCAGTAAGGCCAATCAATGCTCCTTTGAGAAATGAGTAAATCTTTTCATGACTCTCTGTAGTAAAAGAAAAAAAAAGAAAATTCAGAAACATGTTAGAATACCCAGGTACTGTAATAATAAGACACTCTAAGTCATCATTCACATGGCACATTTCTTGGCTCCTTAAATGATAAATAAAATCACTGTGTGCAGAATTGCCTTATATAAAACTATTTTCACCTTCTCCTACTTGAAAGAAAATATTTTAGTTTTAGCAAAACACAGTTTTCTTATCTAATCACCAAAAAAAATTTTTTCTCCTTTCTCTTTTCTCTTAAGTGACTAATTATGAAGGTCTTGAGAGGTCTAACTGAACAATATCCACCACAGTAAAAAGTTTTGAGGAATTGAAGACTATGAACTTCAGTACAGCTTGCAATGAAGAAAATGTTTTTTCTACTAGGTTTATCACAATTCTTCTTTCTGAGAAGTATTTGTAGAAACTGAATTATGTTCATCATTTGCTCTACCTTGAGCTCAGCTATAAATATACTGAATGTGTTCAATATGTAAAAAGAAGGGAAAAGGTAGATGGAGAATAATTAATCTTATTGTAGGATTTACTGGGGTTCTCACTGGGTTAAGGAAATAGACCAATCTTGAATATTAAGATTATAGTTGGAGCTTTGTTTGGGATATGACATAGCTCATATATTATAAAAAGATGAAGAATCAAATAAGCAAGAAGAATATTAATATAAGAAATTCTTAGACTATGAGTAACCATTGTTTCTGAACCATGGGCTGTGTGGATATAGGAAACCTTTACTTATTAACGTATGTAAGCACCTGGGTACTTGTCCAGTTTTCTTTCCATAATGGATGTGTCACATTGAGCCAGTCCCAAAGCCACTCTACTTCTCCAATTCCTTATGCTGAAAGTTTAGAAAATACCCTCCTAAGTCTGTTATAGCTTTTTTCTTTGATCAAATATGAACATTAGAGTGCCTTGGAAATCACCGTGTAAAGTGGAGAACAGTCTCCTTGTCCTGCAGTGCTCACAGAAAAAAGAAACTTCATTTTATAGGAAGCTATTGGCAACTGATGGCTGCTGAGGAGGGGAGAGTCCAAGTTTTTCAGGGATGTGGCCCCCAAAAGGCTACCCATACTCCAGTTGGTGGTCCTACACCCACTCATGGACAGGCAGACTAAGTGTGTTCAGGAGGTTTTAACAAAAAGAGCACATGGAATTTAGAGGTAAAGTGGTCTAATGGTAGGGGACATATGAGAGGAGATGTTATTGAGGGGTGGATTTGATCAAAACACAATATACAATGCATGTATGATATTCTCAATCAATAAAAAGAATAAAGAAAATAATTGATAAGAACAATCCTCTGAATCTATTGTATTGCATTCTACATTTGAAATTTGCTAAGAGAAATAGACAGTAGTGGATATATAGATTTGTGTAACTATAGTAAAGATTTTATTGTGTACATTTGTATCAAGTCATGTTGTGACACCTCAAATGTATAAAGTTAAGCAAAGTAGGCAAATGAGATGCACCAAACTTAAAAGTTCTTTGCTTTCTCTTGACTCTATGCAATCACACAGCAATTATATCTTGTTTCATGCACACTCAAACTCCATCTTCTTCAACCGATTTTTTGAATGGCACCAGTGTGTTCCACATCAGTGTAGAATCTTGACTATAATTCTCCTTAAAGTTTCTACCTAGAATTAGAAGTGATAAAAGTCTTTCTAGTTTAACCTCTTAGTGAGAGTCTTATGACCTCTCTGGACTTCAGTTTTCCTGTTAGGCAACCAGGGACTTCCAAATTCCCCATCTATTGTATTAGTTCATAGTCTTCTAATCTCACACTCTCACCTCATAGCCATGTCCTAATGATAAGATGCTTAGCTACCCGCAATGAATAAAGAGCATCACCAAAGTACATCATACACAATTTAACTTTGAGCTATTACACTCCCTACATGACTTCTGAGAAAAATGATGACATGGCAGATTGCTAGTTTGGTAGGTCTCCATTAGCTGTTTTCTCAGCTGGATTAAGAGACAAAAATCAGTTCCACATATTTATCACTATGATTTATGCCCGAGATAAACATGGTATTTTTTTTTTTACTGTAACAAGCTTTAATTTTTTTAGCGTCATTTGTGCCACACAAAATACGTATTCTCTCTCATGGAAGTTTGTTTAATGGCTCTATAGATGTAGGAATGAAATATTCAAATATATTATAATGCTACCTGAAATTCTTTCTTTTTAGACAGAAAAATGAAGCAAAAAGCAGCACAGCCTTGCACACATACCAACGTGACATATCTGTTTAAACAATTGGTTCTGTACATTGTCATCACAATAACAGCAAATGGTTAACAGTTAAAATGTGCAGCCTATCTTTCTGTGAGGACACGTTTTTAGATAAGCTTACATTTCAGTTCTGTGAGAAAATGCTGAAATGTATACCAGTTTCCCCATGTGGCAGGCTGTGGCCTGTTTTCATAAGTTAAACAATCCCCTGTCTGATAAAACCATAATTTGTTTTGGGGATATTTGTTCATCCCAGTATCATCCCAGTATCCCCTCCACCCACGACAGCCAGGGGTGAGGAGCTCACTATGAAAAGCAAGAGGCCAGGTGAATCTGCTGGCTGCCTTAAAGAGGTAGAATATTCCCAGGCTCTCTTCATCAAGTCCTTTTTGATTCAATTTTCAAAGGTTTGTCTCAATATTAAAAGTACAGACCATAACGTTTTCTAAAGAGAGACGTTTGATTAACATGGCTAATAATTCAGGTACCAACTGGAAATGCATGGTGGAGTGGGTGGTACAGAAGAGAGTTTGAAATTGGTAGACTCTGGCATGCTGCCCTGGCTGCCTCAAGCAAAAGAACTGCCAGTCAACATGCTATTTTAATTTTTTTCTTTACAAGATGGGCAATTGATTCAATGATGTGGCCGTCAACATTAACAGTGTGGTCCTGTACTATGTCATGATATTGAGTGAAATTGTGTCAATCTATGCTATGGGATGTGGAAACATCCTCTTTCTTTTAATTTTTTTTTAACTCCAGTTCAGCCATTTACAGATTATGTAAATGTCGTATAGCTAAACTAGTTTATTTTTCACCGGGTTTTCCTGCATAGGAGTTAAGAGTAATACTATTCCATAAAACATCTATGAAGATTAAGTTATACAATGTGGGATTATTGGTTAATGTATTGGAGTGGCCAATGAAGATAAACTAATATCATTGATGAAACGATTACCGGGTTCTCAGCCTAATCCAGATCTCTTCTTTGGCAGGAATTAGTTTATAGCTACAATTGTTTATAAAACTTTCTTCATTTTCAATCATTGCACAGTAGCACAAACTGTAATGATACAACACGTGAAGGCCCTCACAGGTTTGGACCAAGGTGCCCCAGGGCGGGTGAAACGTGCCATTGCAGGTGCAGCAGGCAGTGGAAAGTTACACAGCAAATGGGACATCCACATGGCAAGTTTATTTTGTGGGGAGGGTAGAGGGAATGGAGGGAAGGAGAAAAGAGAGAGACAGAGACAGACACAGAGAGGTGTGTGCTAACTCTGCCAAGAGGAGGGAGAGGGAGCGAGTGAAGGGGGAGGAGTTTTTTCTTAAAAGGGATGTCACACATCACATAAAATGACATCAGGAGGCTGGGCAGGTCCCAAGGGCGGGTTCAGAATGCTAACACAAGCCTTTAATCCAGCACTCAGGAGACAGAGGCAGATGGATCTCTGTGAGTTTAAGGCGCTTCTGGTCTATATATTCAGGTCTAGGCCAGACAAGTTTACATAGTGAGACCAAAAAAAAAAAAAAAAAAAAAAAACAAAAAAAAACAGGAAGAGATGGCATTCCAACACAGATAACTCTGTATGTATATTTTTAATTACTTGCAAAATGGTTATTTACATATATATTATGCAATATATAACATATTTATATAATCTCCTTTAATAAGCCATGACTACCTGTAATATACTACCACAGCTCCTTTATTTCTGAGTATTTAGCACCAAGAACAGTAGGACAGTACCAGGCACACGGTAGATACACAATAAAGAAAAATAAAACAACGCACTTGCTCTGAGCTAGTGTTTTCAATAGCACTTTGTGAGAGAAATCAAAGATGGCCACGGATCTCCGAGGAGTCTGGGAGATCCATGGAGGTTCTGGAGGGTGACAAGGTGGCGAAAAAGGAGTCTACAGAGCCTGCAGTAGTTCTGGAACAACTAAGGGGGTCGGGGGAAGGCAAGTGGTATTGGAAGGTGCTTTTAAAAAGTGGACCCACCAAACTGGAAAGAAAGATGGCAGAACAGGGACACTTGTGACAGAGAATGACTGGTCTACACCCTTAGCCACAGAGTCTCCGCCAGAAAGCTGCAAACACAAAGGTTGCGCCTGATGACCATGGGGTTGCAGGCACAAAGGATAGAGAGTTGTGTGGTGGCCTGGAGCTCCTGCAGAAACAAGTCAGGCCAACTCCCAGCACAGAACCACCACATGATTGGGGCCCATGATGCTTGCCCTGCTGAGAGACTGAAAGTGCAGATGACCTGGAGCTCCCAAGGAAACATGTCATTACTGAATAGGACTGACTGGCCAGCCCCAACACGGAGCCCGGGGCTGCAGCCTGTGCTGCTTGCCCTGCTGGAGACAGAGAGCACGTGCAGTAGTGTTGCCTGCAGAGGACAGGATAGTGTGCAGAGGCCTGGAGTTTCTGAGGAAACATGTCATTACTGAATGGCTGGTCCTAGGCCCGCCAGCCACCTCCCCACCCCCATGGAGCAGCACTGCAGCCCTGGCTGCTTCTCCGGCTGGGAGACTGATAGTGTGGGGCAGCAGCGCCACCAGCAGGCTACAAGCACAGAGATCCAGCCTGGCGTACCTCAGGGTGGCAGATGTAAAGGACAGGGAGGTGTGCAGCAACCAGGAGCTGGCACAGAACCTGCCCTCCTCCCCAGTCACCCTGCCTAGCCACCCCATCACCCCACAACATCACCCTCACTCTCAGCCACAGCAGGATATCCAAGAGGAGTCTGGACAATGGTCCAGTATTTATGGTCCCTGAGAAACCAGAAACTTTGAACCAGACCAATGACTCATTGCAATGAATATTTGCATGTAAAGCTATTTGGGCAATATATACTAGGTGACACAGTGTGGTTTCCAATGCCAATACAACAAACAAATATGGTATGGAGAGGGAGGAAAAATGGAGGAGCGTAGCAGTGAGTGGGACTACAGTGACAGGTCTGAGAGACAACTGTGGTAGACAGGGGAACATGTCCTTGCTAAGCAAGGCTGGCAGGGTGGTGTGCCGCAGCCTAGAGCCTGCACAGACTCAGATCCCGAACATGCTCCCCAGTCACATGATTACCCTGGTTCTCAGCAACAGACAGGATGTCTAAGATGAAGAATGGTTCATTTTCTGGATTAGACCTCCTCTATGGTCCACGCTGGCCCTGGAAGCCATGTTGGTATCCATGGTCCACTGCCCCAGGCCATGTTGAAGACTGAGGTTCATGTGGATGTTTGTAGTCTTTACAGCAGCTTGGAACTGTGTTGATGTGGATGGCCTGTGTAGCCACCTAAGTCCATGTTGATGTCCACAATCCATGCTGCCACCCAGGACCTTATCTGGGTCCATGATCCTATTGTCGCCAGAGGACATGTTGCTATCTGTGGCCCATGTTACCACTGAAGGCCGTGTAGATGTCTGTGCTCTGGGCTGCCTGCCACCTGAAGCCACCACGTTGATGATGTTCATGGGCAGCGCTGCCACTAAAGACCATATGGAAATGTGTGATCTGTGCTCCTGCTGACTGTAAAAGTCAACTAAGGTAATTTTGCAGACGTATCGACGACTGCAGACTCACAGTTGAGAAAGAGGATTATAGAAGGCTTCTGTGACAACCTCTACCCCCATGCCAAAAATTAACAGCCTAGACAGGCAACCATCATAGGGAACTCTTTAAAATGTGGTAAGGATGTTGAAGTATAGCTCCCCACAGTTGATGGCTTCTGTTGGGGTACAATGGGGAAGGACTCAGTTTTCTTTAAGGCCATGGTAAGTTTGACCATGCTCCAGTGAGTATATGGGCAACACAAATTGGGCTTCTGCTGCTCCTCCTCCTCCTCCTCCTTCTTCTCCCTCCTCTTCCTCCTTCTTCTTATTCTTCTTATTCTTCTTTGGGGGAAGGTCACAAACGGGGTGGTCCTTGGAAGACATGAAAGTGTGTGTGATCAAGGTTCTTGCTGTGCAATTCTCAAAAAATCAATAAAAGTACTGAAAAATAGGAATTAGCAAGCACATCATTGGAGAATTATGGTTTAAGACTTAGGCAAGGGAGAAAAATGAGAATCTGAATTATAAACAATTGTGGATGGAAAAAAAAAAAAAAAGAAGCCGGGCGGTGGTGGCACACGCCTTTAATTCCAGCACTTGGGAGGCAGAGCCAGGCGGATCTCTGTGAGTTCGAGGCCAGCCTGGGCTACAGAGTGAGTTCCAGGAAAAGGCGCAAAGCTACACAGAGAAACCCTGTCTCGAAAAACCAAAAAAAAAAAAAAAAAGAAGACTGTAATGGTGACCTCAGACCAAGTCTGCAGTCCTGTATATATAAATCCCAGGTTCGACCAGGGTAGAGAAACCTGAAACACAGAGGATCATGAGCCCAGAGCCATGGGAATAGAAAGACAAGAGGCCCAGAAGCCATATAAACTCAGTGCTCTTGTGAGCCACTGCACCAAAGTCTGAGTAAGGGGGTCTGCATGAGACAACAGATAGCAGAGGTTACCCTCTCAGAGACTACAAAAAGACACGTGTTAAAGCATAGCCCCTTGAGACTGATCCAAACCAGAATTAAATAATTGACTGTGACTACCGGGGGCAATCATTCCATCCCAGTGGCTGTGCCCAGTGAAGAATGGCCCATCTGCCCCTTTCTCTAATAAATCTTTTTTACACAATGTTTTAATTTTATTTCTTCATATTTTATGCAACCTACCCTATCTTTGGTAAACTTTGTAGTAAACACAAAGCAGTTTTCCGCTTTCTGTTTTGCTTTGCTAAAGTTTATTACAAGAAAAGGAGCAGGATGTCTTGGTCCCTCTTCTCACATTGTTGTTAGGTCTAAACTCACTGCTCTCTCTTCTCTCTCTTCAATCTCTCTCTATCAATGAAGCATCCTGTTGTATGATATTTTGTTTGTGTTCTGACAAATAAAGCTTGCCTGGAAATCAGAGGGCAGAGCTAACCACTAGTTAACCATAGAGACCAGGCAGTGGTGACACACACCTTTAATCCCAGCACTTGGGAGGAGGAAGCCAGAAGATCAGGGGTTCAAGTTCACCCTGGGCTATACAATATTGAACCAGTCTAAGAGAGAAACAGAGCCTGGTGGTGGTGGCTCACACTTTTAATCCCAGCACCTAGAATGTTCATGCCTTTAATCCTAGCACTAGAGAGGTGAAGACAGGAAAATAAGGCAGGTGGAAACAGGATCTAGGCTCCCCATTCAGTCTGAGGATTCATAGAGACAGGATCTCCCCCCATTTGGTATGAGGATTTGTAGAGGTAAGACTCTCAAGTGGTTGCTGCTCTGCTTCTCTGATCTTTCAGCTTTCACCCTAATATCTGACTCCGTTTTTATTGTTAAACCTAATTAGGATCGTGCTTCAGTATACAAGGTTTTTTTTATTATTTTTATTAATTAAAACAATTTTTACATTTGAATATATTTTGATCAGGTTGTTCTCCTTCCCCAGATCTTCTCCCCCTCCCTACCCACTCAACTTTTGGTTCTTCCTCAAAAGACAAACAAAACCCCCATACAACAATAAAACCTCCCAAAACCAAGAAAGCAAAATGAAAACATTTGAAAAGCAAAAAATAAAAATAAACAACACCTGTGGAGTGCATCATATGCTGGTTAACTACTACTGAGCATGATGTCCTGGAGTGGTTGATATACCCAGTGTCACTCTATTAGAGAAACTGATTTAACCTCTAGAGGAATCATGGAACAGAGGACCAGATGAGATCAGTTTTTCATGGGTTCACTTCTTCACTTCTTTTTCATTTACCTTATGAACCATACTGCTGGTCAAAAAAGGGCATGGGTTATCAAGTGATGTCTTCCATAAATAGAGATAACTCTACATTCTTGAAAATGATTCTTTGAGATTCATGGATGCCTTCATGGCACTTCTTACAGTGTTTTTAATCAGGTTACTTCATCAAGAAGTCAACATGCAGTTGTCCTGGTGTAATACTCCCAGATAGACATGGGAATTGAGAGAGATAACCACTTCTTGAGTTAAGTGTAATAGTGGAAATCACTATGCTCCCTGTAGCCATCAAGTGAGATCATCACTGTGGTGGTCCTCATGGGATAATGTGAAAGAGAACATCCCAGCACCCTGTAAAATGTTCTCAAAATGAAGTCAAAATATGTTCAAGAAAGGCATGCAACTTGTCTGTTTTTGGTTGGTTGGTTTTAATTTTCATTTTTGTTGGTACTGTATGTGTGAGCACATGCTCTGTGGGGGCCACAATTGCCACAGTATGTGTGTGCAAGTCACAGGACAACTTGGTGGAGTAAACTCCTGCCTTCCACCTTCACATGGTTCCTAGATAGAACTCAGGTCATCAGAATGTGCAGTACATCCCTTTACCCACTGAGGCATCTCACTGGCCCATGTCTGTCTTTTGTATAACAGATTCATGTTTATTTTAAAGTAAAACCCATGAAGACATTAAACAACAGGTCATTTGAAACAACATGGAGGACGGTAAAAGAAACACTCAATAATGTGAAATAAGCCAAGCACAGAAAGATAGACACCACATGATCCCACTTGTTTGTGGGAGCTAAAACACTTGAACTCCTGGAAAAGGAGAGTAGAACGGTTGACCAAAAGGTATTAAAGCAAGGCATTGGTGACACATAACTTTAACCCCAGCACTCAGGAAGCAGAGGCAGACAAACCTCTGAGTTCAAGGCCAGCCTGGTCTACAGTTCGAGTTTCAGAACGGCCAGGGCTACACAGAGAAATCCTGTCTCAAAAAGCCAAATGAGGGGGAGGGGTTAATTACAGTTAAATAAGAGCAAGAAGTTGTGATGATGTGCCAGTGGGAGGTCTACAGGTGACAATAATGACCTGTGTGTTTCACAAAGCTAGAAGAAAAGATTTTGAAGATTTCTTTCCACAAAGAAAAATGTTTTAGAAGTTACCTGTGTTTAGCTTAGTTCATACATTATTTAATGTATACATTCATTGAAGGATAGCCCATTGATATATACATAATAAAGCACTATTTTTAAAATATATTGAAACAAAATAGGAACAAAATAAAAAGGTTTTTTTTTTTTTTAAAAAAAAAGGCCCTTTGTTTTGCTTGTTGTTAATCAACCATGATTCTCCATGAAAACAGTGTTTGAGGAAAATGCTTACAAACATCTGTGCTCAGTATAAACCATTTGTCTATACTGAACTAAGTCAAGAAGCTCATCTCTTATTGAGCAGCTGTGTGAAGTCAGTATTGCCACACAATTTTTCATTTTTTCTTCCTGCGAAACTACAAAAGGAAGGATTACTGATGAAAATTCTAGCCTGGATCTTGGATATTTCTTGGTTCCAATTGCTTACCCCCATTCAATAATATTTCAGAACTAGAATCCCTTACTTATAATTTTAAAACCCCAAACACTGAATCTTAGAAGGTTTTGTAAGGACTTGGGGCCTTAACCTATCTTGAGCTGATACAAGTCTATTCCTGCAGCCAGGTTTTCCGCTCTTCTTTGGGGAATGCTGAGCTGAGCTAGGGAAGTGTTTGATTTTAAGGCACCCCAGACCCTACTGTACCTGTTATATGAAATAAATGCTTGATCACAGCATCCTCATAAAACCTGAAAAATAATATGAATTCACACAAACATAATTACACTCAGAGTGTAAAGCAAGAGGCTGTGGTATAGAGGGTCACTTCAACCATGGCTACACCAGCAGTGTTACATACTCTCTAAATCTATTAACTTGTCCCTTATCACTGTACATTTTCAGATGTGAGAACTGAGTCATAAAAAGACCAACTACCTTACTCAGAGCAGCAGTCGTCAATGAATCCCATTTTCCTAACAGAGTCAAGCCTGTCCTGTATGCTATGTATGACTTTCCAAACACTGTGCTAGTTCATAAGAATTCATGCATAATGTTCAAACACTCTATGATTCCTTTATCCATAAAAAGGTATTAATAACAACCACCTTTCAGGGAAAACTTAATAGCAATGCTCAATGACTGTAGCAAAGGAGATTCCACTTTGAATACTCCTTGGCTTTGATATATTTTATTAGCCATGCCTGGGACGGCAGGAGGGAAGGCAGCTAGCTGAAAGAGGATCCTGCATGGGCCAGTTACTCCTTTTAATCTGGAGCATTCCCGCTCTTCTGTGTAATTTAGAAACCAAAATAAAAATGGTGCTATGCCCAGAGGCATGTTACAAATTACCTAAAAGCACATTACAGTGATCCATTTAAAATTTAAATGAAACAACGTATAATCTCCAATCAAAGCAGTTTAATATCAGGAGCTGTGAAGCTTGGAGCTCGTGGATAATGAAGGCATTGAGGGCCCTTTTACCAGCAGCTGCTCTCCCAGGAACCCTGTGATAAACTCCTAAAAAATCAGGTATACAAACCAGCCTGCCCAAACTGGGTAACAGCTGGACAAGCCACCCGAGGAGCAGAAAGGCAGTAAACTAAATAAGCTTGGTTTATTTTTACACCTCCCTGGGGCTCTGTATATTTTAAGGTTTAAATATACTTTACCATGCAGGTGCATTCGGTTTCCATCTTTGAGTCTGATCTTTGAATCCACTGTGGTCTTCCCTTCATCCTTATTTCCACGCTGCCTTTACCTCCAGTCTGTTCCACATTACCCTCCTGACCCTGGGCTGATTGTCTTCAATTAAGCCTAAGGATTTCCTCTCCCTTGACCAAAGTCAGACTATTGCACAAGAATAATAAAAGACAGAATGGTCTGCGCTGTCATAGCTAGAGCCACCCCACCTCACCCGACCCCACCCCTGCCCCACGCCAGCCTTTGAAAAAAGTCCTCACTTTGCATAGACCATCCCAATGGGCTTAGTCAATGGCAGCCATTTTTCACTCTGTCAGCTTCAGACATTGGCTGTCTGCATCAAGGAGTGTTTGCTCTGTGATCCTAGCTTCTCATTACAGGAATTGGTCACAAGGAATCAAGCTGAAAAAAATAACAGCAAATTAAATGAAAATATGATATGAGTTGGTTTAAAATATATAAATCCACTGTGATTAACAGTGTTTAATGTGTTTGGAAGAAATTCAGAACAAGTGAATTCAACAGATTTCAACAAATATTTACTCTTAAACAATAACTGATGCAGAGCACATAAGTTAGGAATGTTCTTCAAAGTCCATTGATACTCACTTTAATAGCTATGAATGCAAATTAGTATAGCATGGAGAAATAATTGTAATTCTGGCTATTTCTTGTCATTAAAAGTTGGATCTTATCTATATTTTACATATAAAAAACCACAATTATACATCTATGCTTACCAAAGTCAATGAAAAGTTAAGCAGGCAGTTTTTTTAAAGATGCACATTTGAATTCTGTGTCTAAGGCTCTTAACTATTTGCACAGTTTTATTTTTTAAAAAAAAGTCCTCTGAAGACTCTTGGGATCATAATAAATAATACAGAATAGTTTCTACTCCAAAATTAAATCCTATCTCTGTAGGATTTTCTATAATTACAACTCTGTCTCCTCGCCAAATTCATAACCAAACCTTCCTCAGAAGCTTCAAGATGGAGAAAGATGCTGAGGGTGATGGAGACAGACCTGATCACAGACTGCAAATTTATTATAGTTACCATGCTCTAGAACATCTTAAAACACATTTTTTCTAGATTCATTAATTCCAAAAAATTATGTTGTCCAACAAATCCACCATCTTTATTCTCTGACTTTTATGACACAGTATCACTCGATCTTAACATTACACAAATTTAATATAGAGAAAATTTTTATATAGGTAAGTATAAATGTACCCTTTGCTATACACCTGATTTCACCCATATATGCCTATACCTACCTCAACTTACACCAATAATAAATCACTTACTGTCAAAAAGCAGGCCCTCCCAACCTATAGTTCTCCAGATGGTGAGAGATAGGGTCGATGCTCTTGCCTGTGAAATTGCTGCAGAGTATATCTGTTTGGATGCTTTGTCTCTGCTCTCCTGACATCACAGCCTCTTCTGGGTAGTATTTCATCAACATACTCAACTGTCAGACAGTATGATTTTGAACTTATATTGATGTTGTCCTTAACAATCCTTATAGAGCCAATTATTAGTCTCTACTTTCACAGATAAAGAGGCACTCCATCCTCCTGCCTACTCTAACCTCATTCTCACTATTATTAGCAAGGCATAGGTTGCCTTACCAGGGAACTTTCCAGGCATAGAGAAAAGCAGGACATGACTCCTGTGACTTAGTTCCATTAAAAAAAAAAAAGTATGCTGGACAATGAATGAACTGAACCTTTCAGTTCCCTGTAAAGATGCTCAGGGTCATAGAATTCAATGACACTTGGCTACTAGTTAGGAAAACATTTGAAACAATTTATTCACTCTACTTTTGTGATAGGGTCCATCTTAGCACTTATCTTCTCCGCTTTAACTTGATTCTAGTTGATATATTTAGATGGTATAATTACATCGACAGTGAGTTGGTTTCATTTTTACTCAGTAGTTGAGAGATGTGCACTTGTTAAACTCCATGAGAAAACAAAAATGCAAAGGAGCTCTGGCATTCAAATTGACTAGCAGTCCTAAAATCTCAATAAATGGGATATTTCAGATCTTGTCAAGGCTTATCTTAAAATACATGTGTTCCTTAAAGCTTTTGTTTTTTCATCTTTATGCATTGAATTTGTTCCTCCCTCCCTTTGCTTTTGTCAAGGTGCACAAAATGTTATTAGAAAGGAAAAGAAGTGGGGGAGAGAGGGAAAGAAGGAATACCAGGTGATCAGCCCTAAAACCATATACACACGAGCAACACTAAATGGACTTGGAAGATTGTACTTATATATTTATCCACATGTATGTAACAATAATAATTAAAGAAAAACAAAGGGACACAGTCCATAGATTTGGACACACACAATGTGTGTGAAGAAACCACCTTGAATCGCTGGAGATCCTTCTTTACAGGCTGGATGCAGAGGACAGATCAAATTTGTGAGTTGGTTCCTTTGATGACTAAGTAAGAATATTTGTCACATGCAATATAACCTACTAGTAATTACTGATGTCTATCAAACATTCACATCTCCTCCCCAAGGCATTTGGTATTATTACATTTTCCTAAATTACCAAAACTAAGTAGATCTATATGACGTGGCCGAAACTTGTGAGCAGCAATGGTATGGTAACTGTAAAAGTAATAAACAATTTATTGCTTGTTTCCCTCTTCCACAGTGATCAGTCACATTCCAAACAGTGGCTACTCTCTCATCAGCTTGGGTCTTACAAGGGCAGTATTATGAAGAAAATCAATCAACCAAAAAAAAAAATTTGAAGAAAAGCAAGAAAACACTGTGATCATAAGCCATTGAGCTGCTGAAACAACCCAGTCCATTCACATTTCTGTTTTCTAGCAAAGCATCCCTGTAAATAAAGACAAAAGCAATATGTACTGCTGGTGGTAAAAAAAAAAAAAAAAAAAAAAAAAACTGATGTAGCCACTATGAAAATCAATGGGGATGGGGATGTTCCTCCAAAAACAAAACTAGAGCTACCACCTGATGCATCTCTACCATTCCTTGGTATATACATAAGGGGATCTAAGTCATCATAGCACAGAAATGGCTCCCACAATGTTTACTGAAGTACTATTCATAGCAGCAAATGTTTGTAACATGCCTTGATATCTATCAATAGATGAGTATTTAAAGAAAATGTAGTATATTTATCTGCAATAAGGATGAATGAAATTGTGTTACTGACAAAAAAATGAATGGAGTTGGAGGTGAATGAGCTAAATTCTAAATTATAAGTATCATTTTATCATATGCACAATGCATATCTTCAAACATGCATACATGCACAAATACATAAATATACATATATAATAAAAGCAGAAGGAGACTATTTGGTGGAAGTGCAGGATTAATAGGAGGAAGAGGTGGCACAGAGAAGATAATGGAGGGAAAAATAGAAATCACATTTTCTCTCATAGGCAGAATTCATATTGCAATCACATAAACACACACATGTGAAATCAGAAGCACGGCTATTTGTAAAAAAAAAAGGGGACCATCTGGAGAAGACAAGGGGACAAAAGAGTAAATATGAACAAATGGCAGATATATATGTACAACAATATCAAAATGAAATCCATTATTTTACATATTAATGTTTAAGAGAATAACATTTCAAAATGGCCCTTCACATAGATGAAGCAGCATGTGCTTCCTCCATTAGATTAGTGAAAGGCATCCCAAAAGAGTTCCTATCATATATCAAACAATACAACAGAACACAGGGAACATTGCCAGAGTCTACAAATTAGCACAATGTAATATCAAAGCAATGAAATATCAAAGCAATTGAATACTGATGTGACTATGCCATACATCAATTAGGCTGCCATTATCTTTTTCAAATTTCATTTTGTCAACATTTCACTGTGACTTTGAACAGAACCTCCTTAATTCCTGGCTAGCAGTGAAAACATTTTTAGAAAAGAAGAAAAAAATCAAAGAATACTTTACACTGCTCAAATTAAAGAAGACATGTCAGCAATTTGGAGGGTATAGAAGATACTGGGAGCCAAAGAGTGTTCCAAATTTAAATGATGAAAAGAGTTTTGGTAGGTACAAAATACAAATACTTTTGGAACAACATAATGGTATTTTTATTACTTCCTTCTCATGAGTTAAAAGATGACATGTTAGATAAGTTTATATAGCTTAATAAATCTAAAATATATTTTTAAAAATATGAATCAAAATGCAAAATGCCAGAAATGTGTCATAGTTTAATAACCACAACATTTCTTCCTTCGTGGTGATATGTAAAATCACCATAAGTCTTGAAATCAATAATATCTCAAAGTCAACAAGAGAAGTTGTACTCAAGAGCAACAATGATCAGCCCAAAAAGTCAATATCAAAGGAACAACATGCTAAAATGAAAACAGGGTGCTTCAGATTTCCCACCAGCTTTTGAGGAAATGTGATGAGATGTTTTGAACGTAAAAATTTTCAGGAAGACCTTTCCCTGTGTCAGTGAGTTCAAGCATATTCACTACCATCTCCTGCATTAATTCAGCGTATCATGTTGAAGTCCTCGATCTATTTGGAAGTTAGTTTTGTGCATGGATCTAGTTTCATTCATTGACATGCAACTATTGAGTTTGTTGCCATTTGTTGAAGAGGATGTCTGTTCTACAGTGTGTATTTTTGGCTTTTTTTTCAGAACCAGGTGTCCATGGGTACATGGACTTATGTCTGTGTCTTTAGTTCTAGTCCATTGATCAACAATAGCTCAGTAGTACAGCTTAAAGTCAGGAACAATGGTTCTTCCAGCCATTCATCTGTTATTCAGGATTGTCTTAGCTATTGTGCGTTTTCTGTATTTCCATGTGAAGCTTAAGATTTTTTTTTCAATTTTTTGCAATTTCTGTTTCTGTAATTTCAATTACTGTTCAAATTTTGATTTAGATTGTGTTGAATCTGTAGACTGCTTTGACATGGTGGCCACTTTCACAATATTAATCTTATTAATTGATGCATACAAGAGGTCTTTCCATCTTTTGATATCTTCTATTTCTTTCTCTGTTGTCTTAAAGTTTTTATTTTACAAGTCTTTCCCTTCCTTAGAGTGATGCCAAAGCATTGTTGAGGCTGTGGTAAATGGCTTGTTTCCCTGATTTCTTTTTCAGTAAGTTTACCATTTGTATATAATATCAGAAGGCCACAGATTTTTGTGCTAATTTCATATTCTTCCATAGACCCCTCTACCATTAGTCTGTTGCCAGTGCTACTGGTTATCCTCCAAAAAAATTGATGATAAGACTCTATTGCTGAAGATACAACATAATTATATCATAGAACATGGAGAAATCTGGCTGGTACTCAACTACAAGTTTTAGCCATACTGGCTAGCGTCTGTAGTTCTAGAAGTTCTACTACACACACTACACAAGGAGCA